ACTCCCACATTTGATTCTAACCCCATTGCTCACACTGGTCAGAGGAATAGTAAGCCATTTTGACCTTTCTTCAAAAACATAAAAGCATTGTGCATCCAAACATCATGGTGAAATAAATCATATTTCAACAGATAATCTACAAGCAAGTAGTAGAAATATATTATTATTTAAACAGTGAAACAATAAAATAAATAGAGTTTTACCCTTTCAAGTGACAACACATTAGAAATCACTTCATACTCTCAAAACAAAAATAAACCAAATACAAACTTTTCATTTGGATTTAACACATGGCATGCTTAATGGATTCAGTACTTCTAATTCTTTTTAATAAGCATTACAAACTGAAAGACAAGTAGTTGCTAAAAATATATTGTAGTATCTTAAAACTACCATTCCCTATCAATGGAAATACAATGGTGGCAATTAAAAGTAAAAAAAAAAAGATTAAAAGTTAAGATCTGAGAGACTAAGAAGTCATGTTAGGTTGTCAATTGTTTTTTTTTTTTTTTTAACCATTGTGGGTAACCAGTTAGAAGTAAAAAAAAAAAAATCTAGTAGTTTAGTTGTGGTCCAGGAAAGAGTCAGTGGGGACAGGGGGATTTCAGCAACATGCTGGGAGAAAAACAGAGACTTACATAGTCTGGGAGGGCAGTGAAATGGAGGGCGTGGCAACCTCGCTCACTTAGTGGTCATTTTTTTGAGTTTCAATGACATTTTTTTTCATTCTTTCGCCTAGTAAAGATGACAGAAGGTCCTAATTTATTCTCTGAAATCTACTTCTGTTCCTAGATAGAAGAGAGTTTAACTGTACACAGTCATATCATCCAAATACAAATACTTTGATTCAAAGAGATGGTCATACATTCCATAGACTCACAACTACACCCTCAAAAGCCCAGCTCAGGATTCGGGGAGAAGAATCAGCAGCACAGCCTGGGCACTGCAAGAGGCTTGGCTGGTTATGGTTCCCTCAGGGGAGTGGAGGAGAGGAGAGCCCAAGACAAGCTGTCATTTTCCCCAGAGATGCTCTGATCCCCAGATTATAGAAAAATCTCTGGATGAACATCTTGGGCAGCCTTCTGGGTGACAATGCTAGAGGATTCTGTGAAAATACACATCAGACCCATGACAGGTGCTCTAGCCCTTAAGCTGTTTCCTGCTGTGGCCAAGTACAGAGCTATCAATACTCTGTCTAGTGTGACCTGGGGGGATTGTCAGGAGTTAGAATGAGATTAAAAGTAGGGCCATGTCAGTCAGGCATGGAGATACATGCCTATAATTCCAGTATCCAGGAAGGAGAAACAGAAGGATTTCCAAAAGTTCAAGGCCACTTTGGCCTACATAGTGAGCTCGAGGCCAGTCCAGTCTACATAAGTGTGACAACTTATCTTCCAAAACCAAAAGACCAGTATCAACTTCAGTGTCTATAAATTGTGCTAGCCCATGGTGCCCGACATTTTCTTCTCCTGTCTGTCTGGAGGACTGAAAGTGCTCAAAGCATCCTTAGGAACCAACCAGTGAAGAGACATGTTGAATTCTGTCAGAAGAACAACCTGGGTGGAGGAAGCTCTTTTTAATAACTCACCAGTGTACTTAAAGGCACATGGGTTGTGGATTAAAAAGAGTGGGAACGAATCAGAAGAGACTTAAGAGATGGGATGTGGGGGCACTAATCCTGATAAAATGCCATCCCTTTAATGCTGAAGTCATCTTCTGGCTTGGCAAATGTTGCTCAGCAATGGGATACTAGAGTTTGCATTTCAGTTCTTCAAAGACAGAATCCCACATCTGCTCTAAGAATGACTTTCCATTTACACACACATTCTCAGGTGGAGTCTTTCATGGGTGTGTGATAATTCATAGCATTCTTTTCAAGTAACTACTGGGGATGGCACATAGTCCAAAGGTACCTAAAAACTGACTAGAATTATTCACAAGATGAACTGGACAAATAGATATTTAGTAAGTTTATATAGGAGTGCATTCATTTCCTTATATACATTCTGTAAAACTAGCCTGCTGGAAGAGATATTTTAATTATATTCAGGTTATTATTACTTCTGTTGTTACTATCATTAAGCAGCAGGAAAGAATCCTGTTCAATTAAAATCATGAAAAGTCAAGGAGCATCAGCAGCCAAGTGTTGACTGTGGCTACTGTCTTTGGGGTTTCCCACACAGTGGGCTGATCTCACTACAGAGGCATATGCAGGCTGCAGCTGTAGGAACTGGGATGTTGGCTTTTCTGAATTTATCGGGGTAAATATAACATCTTCTTATATCCAAACCATGGCTTCTGCTTTCCTCAATGAGAAAGGGAAATTCTGATATGGATACTGACATCCCCGTTCCAGCGGTGACCACTAACAATCTGTGAAACTGCTCTCTCTCTCTCTCTCTCTCTCTCTCTCTCTCTCTCTCTCTCTCTCTTTCTCTCTCTCCTTTTTAATTTCCTCCTTTCTTGTATGTGTATATGTGTGTCTGTCTGTGTGTCCTGGAACTCACTATGTAGACCAGGCTCAAACCTGGAGATCCATCTGCCTCTGCTGCCCAAGTGGTGGAATTTAAGGCATGTGCCACTATGTCCAGCTCATCTAGAAGTTTCCAAATTCATTTCATGTACATATTTATGCAGTGTTAAGACAGAGGGGTGGGTGGGGCAGCACCACAGTGAAGGAAGGGTTTCACCACAGGCAATGTGGCTCTTTCTTGTCTAAGGGGAAAAGTCAGTCCCCACAAAGCAAGGCCTCTACTGCTGGTGGATCTGATTTAAACCACGAATTCTTGCCGAGCTATCACTGCACAAATCTCCTTAAATATCAACTCTTTTTATTCTTTGGAGTTTATGTTTCATAAAAAGTCAGTTCATTTTTCTCTGCCTTGGTGACCTGCATTCCTTCGTTTCCTGTGCAAGGTTGCTCCTGCTAGCCTCGGCTCTAGTCCCTTTTTCTCGGCTGGACACTTGGGAAGGGATAGTAATGTTTAGAATAAGAAAGAAAATAAAGTTGAAAGAATTCATCTTATTATGATCATGTTTAGATGAAATGTGGGGCTTGCCATCAACAAAATTACAAAACAATTCCTCTGGGAGCCCAGACCATTCCGAATAATTCGTCTATGAAAAAATGAACTTTAATTGTTACCCTTGGCAGCCGTCTAAGGGAAGAGTGAAATACTATACTAAATATTGCCACGTGCAACAGTAAAATACAATTTCCTCCTCGCCAGAAGCTGTACAGTCCCTTGAAATCCACGTTTGGGTCTGCTGATTTAGTTTAAATCCCCTGTTTTCCCCTCTCCAAAACCAACAGAGGTTTTCCAAAGAGCTGTGTGCTTTATTGGAACCAGTTGCTCCTCTTAGGTTGCCAAAAAAGGAGTAAGTAAAACTAGGAAGTTTATTTAGGTTAAAGTTGATTCTCCAGCTTCATTGAGGTTAACGTGCTTTGTCTGTGAGCCCCTTCTGCTAGGAAGGCCACTCCAGCCAAGGTTACATGCTGGTCTCTTTCTCCCCAGTGTAGCTCATGGGCTTATTTTGTAGGATGTAGGAGCAGGCTGACACTAATCAATGTGAAATATACATGTGGCAATTTATATTCTGGTTTTTAATTTTTATTTTTTCGAAGAACTGAAATTTCAAATAAATTCCCATATTGCCCATACAATTGCAAGTTTGAGATTGGGGCATCTTCACATGGGCTTCCCAGTTGTACAACGACTATAGGCATTTTATAGTCCTTGAGGCTTAGCAGCACACTGACTTGCTGCTCATGACAGCCAAGGGAAGCACCACACTTCAAGAGCAGAGGGTTATTCTTTTTCTAAGGATGAGGTGAATTATGCAAAAACATTAAGTAAATGGCCCTAAGTGCTGAATACGTGACAGATTCATAAGTCCTGGTTAAGGATGAGTTTACCACGAGCTATCTGCAAAGAATTTTAAAAGGACATACGTTTTGGCATAAATAGCTAAGTATACTGGACACAGTTCCCTAAGGGAATATTAAGCTCCTACGCATGATATCATGTAGACGTTACTCAGATGCTATGTTTACATGTGGAACAATTAGGGATCTTAAAATGAACGGTTTCCTCAGCATTACTCATCACGTTTCCAGTGGTCCGAGGGAGAACCGCCACTGATAACATAGTCCCTACACTGCAGAATATGGTTTTCCCCAAAAAGAGATACGTCATGATCTAAAATTATCCGGGAAAAAATTTGAGACTGTAGCTGTCACATAAAGTAATTATTGTTATAACTCCATAGATTAAAATTCAGGTCATTTGCAACTTGAGTAAACACACTAATCTTTAGAAACGCTTTATGTAATTACTTTCTATTTATTATGATATATATATATTATCCACGACAATAAAGATGATGGCCACTGTTAAGAAGAGCACTAGAGGGATCTATAACTTGTGCAGCTCGAGGAAAAACACTCTGTGTTTGTTCTGTGTCTTGTGCAGCTTCAAGAGACTGTGCAGTAGGAAGTTTCATCTGCACGTTGGGCTTATTCATAAAAATATGCTTGCTTTTCTGCTTCCGGAAGTCTTCAAGCTAGTAAAAATAATACGGTACAGAATGCATGGCCTGATTGCTAGACCACAGTGAGAAATGTGTGTCAGTTATTACACATAAAGAAGTAAAGATGGAGAATTTGAAAACACATAGTTTTAAAAACACCAGTCAGAGAATCAACGACAGCAAATACTAAGGCAGTTAGGGGGTCCCATAGGCCAGTTATACTTGGGGGTTGGCTGAATCTTTAAACACTTGACCTATGGCGTGGGAAGTGCAGGAAATCTGCCATGTGTGTATACTTCTAATAAAAAAAGTCAATCTGTCTTTTATGTTCTAGAAGACCAAAGGGCTCTTCATGTGTGAGCACAAAATTTAAAGATTTGTTTGAAGGGTTCCATTTCCTACTCTCCGTTTAAAATTGGGGAAAAATTAAAAATGTTTTGCCTGTGACAGAATATGAAAGAAGTTCTCACCCTTAAAACCAGCAGCATTGGTTTTCCAGTCATTAGCGTTCAAATGTCCCGCACGGGAAGTCCTGACAATAACATGCTGTACGTCTCTCCAGGTCAGAAACGGACTGGGGAAAGACAAGGTAAGAATCATTGTACCAAAAAAAAAAGATGGGGGAAGCAGAGAGTCACAAGCAAATTCAAAAAGCAAAATCAAAATGGCAAAGTACTAAAAACGGGACAGAGACTTGGGTTTGGGATCATCCAATGCCAAATGCCACTCCCGCTCTCAGTGTGGAGACAAGATGTCAGTCTGTGGGTGGCAGAAAATGTAACTGTAAGAAGAAACACTATGCTCGGAGTCAGTACGTCAGTACAGCTCGGTGGTAAGACGGTGAGAGTTTCCACTTCCTCAACAAAATGGCTGCTCACTATGGAGCTCCTGTCCTCTGAGTGACAGTTTGCACCATCAGACACAGCAGAGTCAAAATAGAAGGCCCCGGAACATCCATCCTTTCATCGCGTGATTAGGCAATCAATTTGAAGTTTACTAAAGATCAACATCCAACCTTCTGTATAAATATATGTGGGGAATCTGGGAAAATCTTAGCTGGAATTAAGTACACATTTGCGGTGTTGTCTAAGGGAAAGAATGTGGTTTGGCCGAAGAGTTGGGCTCTCCAGTGCGCAGGACAGGAGAGCCTTCTCACTTTATAATATGCAGTTGTTACAGTAAGCAACCAGCTCACGGCCCTAAGGCTGATAGCATGGAAGAGCACAAGGTAATGATCGAACAGGCTAGACTTGCTTGAGAACGGAAGACCTAATGAAGACAAACCCAAGGATAGTTTAACACAGTCTGGGCCTCGTTCAAAGAACACAGTGCACGAATAGGCACCGGACACGGAACATGAGTACATTCTTCAGTCTTGACGTCTGATCTGTGTTGATCTTTAAAAACATTCTATTGTTTACTCATGCTATAGGGTATGCGTGCATGGAGGGAGACTTTCAGGAATCGGTTCTCTTTCTATACTGTGGGTTCTGGGATCAAACTCAAGCCACAGGCTTAGAGGTGGCCACCTTTACACACAGTGCCATCTCCCCATCCCTATTATCTTTTACGTAATGGAGAATTATGGCAATAAGTATCACATGGCCTATGTAATCATTTTTGTTATTTTCCATCCTCCTTTTTTTTTTTAGAAGAATTTGTAGGATTCAGCGACCTGAAGAATATTAAGAACTCTGTGGACATTAACTGACAACCCCCCACTCACACACACACTCACATTCCCACGCAGAGGGAGAGCTTGTCAACTGTGACTAAAATTTAACGGGACAGCCACTGTTCTGCGTCAAGCTACTTTTGTCCCAGTCACAACTACCATAGATCCAACTTGGTCAGTGCCCTCCTAGCAGTAGGTAGTTCGGCAATCAGACAGTAGCTCTTGCCCTTTCCACGCGAGATTAACTTCTGCAAAGAATTAATTTCCTCAGTGAGAAGGCAGATGCCACCAGTCAGTCAAAGTCATGCTAACTACTCCACGTAATGCCTGGCATACAACAAACTCCCGGGAGAAGGAGATCGCTGGCCGCTTTGTTCAGGCAACCCACTGTTCTTATTCGGTACTTTGAATATCAAGAAATCAGGAAAAGAAAAGAACTATTGAGTGTCGATACCTTTTCCTCACGCTCTCAGACTGAAAATGAACTGAGAGTGAACCAAACGAGCAGCGCCACGCCCATGTTTTCGGAGGCTGAGACCAGAACAACTTTTTAAAGGTTATGTTGGTGGTGAAAGAGCTTGTGTTTAGAAAATTAGATCCCTGCTAGGGGGACTTTAAAACTGTGAGAATAATGGAGACTGAATTTTCATTCTGTTTGAATAAGACACGTGTTGGCATCCATGTTAGGCAGTGGTGAGGCATGAAACTCAAGCGAGGGAGAGGGGCAGATGGAGTGATTTGGCCCTGTGCTGACCTGCACTGAGTTCACATGGTAACTCAGAGGACTCGGTGCAGTGCTGTCTGGGACACGCAGAAACCCATTCTGGATGCCAGCCTCAACACAGGTGCTCCGCTCTGCCTGAGATACGATGCTCACAGTGTGTTTCCTTCTTGGTGTGCCTGCTTAGGAGGAGGGCAAAAGCCTCAACAAAGAAGCCCACTTTGGGCAGATACTCTAGCTGCTAACGTGGGTTTTTCCATAGTGTTCCCGAACAAACAGGCATATTTTAATTTTTTCACGTGTAAACAGAATGACAACGGAAAGCACCCAGGGTTTGATGACTGTATCTATCTAAACCAACCTAGCAATTTAAAGGTAACACTAAGTTATCTTTACTATGCAGTTAGAACTGCCGTATTTTAAATATTACCCTTTAGGGAAACAGAGTTTTCTATGTTCCCTTCAAGACTCAGAAAAATTCAGCAGAGGATTCTGAACACTGGGAGACCCATGTTTTCCTTTAGTTCACTAAGTGCGAAGATATAAACGTCATCCAACATGGAACACTTATCATGCACCTGAACCAGCTGTGTTCTGGCAGATGGAGGAAGTTTCCCGCATTCAACTCAACCCGAAGAAATTGCTTGCATTACGTGCTCCCATGCTGAGTTACAGAACTACTTTCTGGAATATTTGTAATTAGGAAACCCAGCATCAAAAAATTGGAAAAGAACGAGGTGGCTGGGTAATTTTACTTTGAAAGTCGGTGAGGCATGGAGCTGCCTGAATTTCAGCAAAATAAACAAGTAAGAAAACAAGAGACATCCATGGATTTGGAGTAAGTGGCATTTCTGCCCATGGCACGCCAACTAACGAACCCAGGAACTAGTGAGAGCTTAGCCCGAGGTAGACTTACTGTAGTCACTGAAAGTTCCCTAAGGGCCCTATTATGCAGATGCCTGGTTTGCATCTTCACAGTCTCCCTGGTGGTCACAGGGCTGATGCACAGGTGAAGACTGAGTCAGACTTTCAAAGATTTGGTAAGAGAACATTCTGGTAACCATACACATACAGAGTGTAAGTACAGAGTAAAAGCTGAGTCCCCTTCCTAGGGAAAGCCATGTGCATGGTGCATGATAGTAACACAGGATCCCTTGAAAATCATAGCCTTCCACAAATATCTTTGGTCTAGATTCCTCTGGCCTCAAAACCCAAACGTTCTCATTCCCCAAAGCAGACAGACTGAGTGTAACTGGAAAGGACTAAAACAGGGAGGGCAAATGTCGAGCTGACCTAAAGAGAGGGGATGACTCATGCTGAGCTTGCCAGTCACCTTCTAAAAGCCACAGTGGCTACGTCCTGTGATCACCACCAGTTCTCCTTCAACGACAGACACGGGAAGTAGCCACCTGCCATCGTCCAAAGCACTGAAGCATAACTGCTTTCCTGAGCAGCTCTGGAAAAGTCATGGTTCTCACTTAAGAAGTGTTTCCTCTTTACTTGACCTTGCAATAACAAACACGTAGAGAGTCCTGGCTAAGACCAGGCACTGCGTGTTATGTACACAATATTGTTGTGTTATGTTAAGAATCATATGTAGGGACCAGTCTCTTTAGCAGTTCTCCCCAAATATGAAGCTGAGAATCTACATTGCATATTCATGTAAGGGCAGGGCGGTGGCAAAGGCAGAGGCAGAATCCAAAGCTCTGGGTTTTGCCTGCAGCACTTATACCGTCCATCAGCAGATACTGCGGCTTCCAGAACAGATCCACAGGCTGCTACAGGGATGGATATAATCTGGCATCTGCGGTTGTTCTTAGACGTACTGGATCAAGAAGTCAACATCTCCGGATACAGTTTCATGGTCATGTAACTTTTGTGGACATATTCTCTCAACTCAATTGGATGATTTTTGTCTACTATTAAAAAATTCTTAAAGCTGGGGTGGGGGTGGTGGGGGTGGCACACGCCTTTAATCCTGGCACTCGGGAGGCAGAGGCAGGTGGATCTCTGTGAGTTCAAGGTCAGCCTGGTCTACAAGAGCTAGTTCCAGCACAGACTCCAAAGTTGCAGAGAAACCACGTCTCGAACCCACCCCCCCCAAAAAAAAAGAAAAAGAAAATTCTTGAATTTTAGTTTTGTTTGTAAATTCTGAAAGATCTAACCTTTCCAAATTTTATCAAAGATCAAAAGAAAAATATACTAGGAAATTCAAGTCTCTTAAATACAGCTCACATTTACATGCTATCGTAACATTATTATGATTTTATAACATTATTGCTGTGAATTGGTCACCTCCCTTGCCGGGGTACCACTTTGACATGCTTCACAGTCTGGTTTGTTAAGATTCTCAGTGGACCAGCTTAATCTACCCCCAAGTACCACTAGTTTCAAGTCATTAATGCAGGACAATGACTCTATGGTTACCACAGGCTCGCACAATGTCCTTCTTCCCAGCAGTTCAAAGTTTTTAATGAGCTCACTATGAGATTAAGAATAAGCAGGACATATTCCTAGAGAGTTATTTTTATGTAGTGCTTCTTATTAAAATTTTAAGTATAATGGCTAGCATTTACATTAGAAAAGAAAAAAGTCACTTGCCAAGAATTCTTGAAAATAATTCTCAGATGTGTGAGTGTTGGAAACAAGCTTGCATTTAGTGATCCTTATAAACAAGGTCCAAAATGAAGCCTGAGCAAATGGCTCACCTGCACTTTTTTTCAAGAAAAAAGGAGCCAGTTATTCCCTACAAAAGATCTACCACCACCACCGTACATCTATACATCCTAATCATAATCATATTTATAATCTTCATCCTTAGTTCATAGATAAGTGATAAAAGGGACATGATCCATCTCCACAGAAGAAATTTATCAACAAGAGAAAGCAAAACCAAAGAATGAGAGTAGCTAGCTTCCAACTTCTAACTTTCTGGAGTGAAAGTGATTCTCTCCAATTGAGATCAATGAACAACAGCAGGGACAATCAGCAATCATCCAACTAGCTCATTAATTAAATAAAACCAACCCAAGTGCACCCAGGTTCCTAATGAGTGTGCTTAAAACAGAAGTGGGAACAAGTAGCCAGGAAATTAGTGTCATTGCACCCATATTTAGAAAATCGGTAACCATGAGAATGGGTTTATTTGAGCCACATTATGAAAGATGAGGAAATACGT